TTTGAAGAGTTCGTGCCTCACCACAGTGGGATAGAGCTCGTGTCAACTGAACTCCAAAAGGGAAAAAAAGGTTTTAATTTGGCTTTTCCTGCAAGATCTCTATAGCAAGAGATTCCGTGAACCTCACCTGCTCCTCTACAGGCTGTCAGCCACTGATGTGATTGAGAAAGTTTTTATTATTAACTTCTTCGTGACTTCTATTGCCACTGATGCCTTTAGTATCAAAGAAATATGAAGTCAGTTCATGAGGAAAGGCTTTTGAATGTGACACCCATTTCAGATATTGCTAAAAATAATGTCAATTTCCAGTAATTCTGAGTCAGCTTTTGATTACAGGAAGTCTAGAAGTCAACTGTAGCATTTGTAAGAAAATTTCTGTTAGTGAAGCTTAGACCTAAATATTACCTTCCAAGTATTGTTTATTTTGTAAGCATAAAAGGTGCTCTCTTTGCTTAGAACTTATTTAGGTCTGTGCCATTTTAGTAAAATATGTAGATTCAGGGATTTTTCTTGAATGTTTGTTTGTAAGGCTTCCCATAATCTTTCATGTATAATAGCTTGAATTAAAGCAATGTATGTGCTTTTAGCTGAGCTCCAGTGGGGAAATACATGCATGAAAATAAATTACTGTAGGTGGAACTAATTAATTCCTTGATTGGCAGGCTCAGCAGATAAAGTCCTGAATAGGATAATGTGGAATGTCTTTGCTATTTGGCTCAGTTGTAGCTGGCCAAGAACTTTAGGTAAAACCTCTCCTCTTCTACCTGACTTTGTAGCCTCGAGGCAAGGGCTGAAGAACTGAACTGATGTGAAGTCAAAATTATCAGTCCAGCCTTCTGTAATCCTGTGTACATCGTCCTTGGAGCCAGGCAGGGGCCTATCAAACTATCAGGGAGATGTGCTTGTCTCACTGACAGAACTTCAGCTCCCTGCTAAGGCACTGCCTTATCACAGCTGACAAGATTACAGTGGTTTGCTTGATAGTGTGGGGAGCTTTGCAGGCAGCTGTGGCTAATCCGTAAGGAAATGTTCTCCCACTGAGGTGCGTGGAGAGATTTGAATGCTGCAAATACATTTGAAAAAAGAGTATCATTTTTTAAAGCATGTTAATTCTCATTCTGCTTGCTGATGCATAGGTGCAGATACAGGTTAGCATTACTGCCCTCCTGTAAGAGCTAAGAACTCAGCCTGGACTGATGCTCACTGGCTTCTCCTGGAAGTTGGGATGAGAAATCCACGTGCAGCACCCTGAGGCACACAGGCCATCTTCTGGGGACACTCTGGGAGGTGATCTGTTGTGAAGCTGGTGGTTTGTGTCACGCTCTCTGCTGCTGTGAGAGCTAAAGCCACAAGTTCACCTTTATCTGTGTAAAACTGGACTCTGAGATCTGGGTCTTGGCTGGGGAGTCGGTGCTCAAAGCCATAAAGTAAAACAAGGGAGCTCAGTTAATTTTCTGGGGTGTAACAAGCCTGGCAAACTTGGCCAGGCTCATTTCATCTGTGTGAGAAGAGCCAATTTGTTCTCTGTAGAAAGTGAGCCTCCCCATTTTTCTCTTCTGGGGTTGGTGGGTTTACCCTGCCTGGATGCCATTTGCCCACCAAAGCCCTTCTGTCACTCCCATTCTCAGGAGGGGACAGGAGAGGAAACGTGTGCATTTAGGAGACAAGTGGAACTGGCACCACTCTGTAAATGCCTGCACTGGAGCAGTGAAAGAGCTCACAACAGCCTGTGGCTGTCGGCCCCTGCTTCAAGGCAAAGATGTAAATTAGGAAGGCAGACTTAAAAGTGTTTCCCAAAGTTAAAGGGCTGCTTTGATGGAGAACAGTGTAAGGAAACGAGCACACATATTCCTGAGAAGGCAGAAAGGTGACTGAGTTACATGTGTTACATAAACCCTGAGGGACAGAGATGAGTCCCTGTAGTCCACAGAGCATCTTAATGGGAGTGGGCAGAACAGTGTTGGTGTGGATTAGCTCAGACTGTACAGTTACTATGTGTAAGATGTGAAACAATCTTTAATTGCTTTAATTAATACAGTAGAAATAATTTAAAAAAGGAGTTGTTTTGGGAGGTATACCTTAATGCTCAGGTAGGTTTGGGACTCTCTTATGAGGCTCCTTCAATTTTCTTTTGTGCTGTCCTTGCTGTTTAGACCTGCAGATAATTTTGTTGTTTCAGTTTTTCTAATTGTTCCCATATTACTTTGCTAAAATACTTAACTGAAAGGGAAGAATGTTTTGAAGTAAGAAAACCCTATTTTCAGTTAGGGTTTCAGTTTATTTCAGAAAAACTAAACCACTGATATTTACCAGTACATCAGTCCATATTAGTTTGGTAATAACTCTTTGTGCTTGAAAAGTTTCACCTGCTTGGCTGCTTCCTTTGGGACTAAGAATTGACAGAAAGAGAATTTCAATAAATGCACTGCTTCCAAGGGCTTTGAACAACGTGCAATGGGAAAAGGTTGTGTAGTGTTGGATTGTATTGTATTGTATTATCCAGGATTTCATGTTTTGAAGAGATGGGGTAGAGAGAGCAAGCTAACAGTGTGTTTAGTTCTGAGTCACTTATGTGTCCAGCCAAAACTGTTGGCATACTTCCAGTACATGAATCTTTTTCCACCTTTATGGGAGGCACTGTTTGTATGTTTAAAAGAAAAGAAGGTGAGCCTGCCTCTTGAGATTCCAAGAACAGCAGTATTTCTGCCTTTTTTCCAAGATGGCATAAGTGTGGCTCTAAGGAGTTTTGCAGCTTGTGTAGGTGTTTCACCAAAAGCTCAGAGAAGAAACTGAGTCACTTGCAGTTAGTTGTTGAATAGTCCAGCATGTAACAGTTCAGGTGAAAAACTGCACCAGTTGTGTTGAGGGCACTGTTCAGCCCTGGGACAAGGAAATGAAGCTGGTGCTGTTTGCCATGTGATTTGCAGATGACCAAAACCAATGTGGCAGAAGGAGACACTTCAGAACAAAGTGCTCTGTTGTGGAATATGAACTGTCCCCAGTGCTGCTGCTGTGACACTGCAGCTGGCCAGCTGCATTACACAGCACTGCTCCCAAATCCCACTCTGCATTTGGGCAGTTAAGAGTTAGGGAAAACTCAGTCCAAAATACGACACAGTCCCATTTCAGACACTATGAAGTAATTAGTTCAGTAATCCCAGATAAAAAAATTTAATCTTTCTATAGAAACAGTGCACTGTTTTACAAACGTGTTCATTTGGTTTCCAGTACAGCAAGTGTTACACAGAGCCCCCTGCCCCTCCCTGGGCCTTTTGTCTGGAAGGTAAGAACTGAAACACAAAAGGCACCAAGCAAGAACTTACTCTAACAGAACTTCAGTATGACAAGACAGAGCAGAAATGAGTACAATGTTAAATATCACCCTACCAATCTGAACCGTTATTTAAAATAATTAACTTCTTAAAAAACAAATTTGGTGTTTGACTTCTCAGTAGTTATAAATCTGTAAAGGTTGAAATCAGCACTGCACATTGAGTTAATTTACAATGGTTTGAAAAAACCTGCAGCCTTTTATACGTGGTTTGTACAGGTTTGTTTGTGTGTTCTTAAAAAAGTATCAAAACTGTAGAACTTTCTTATATATTTACATTCGTCTGTTAGTTACAGTGTTATCACATAAAGCCTTTCTCAGCTTTTTTCTTCATGCACACAGTGCATGAATTTATAGAAAGAGAGCTTCATACCTTAAAACAGTAATGGGATATCTCACTCATGTTGTCACTGCCTTAAAATCTAAAATTTGGAATAGAAGGATGCTTGATTACTTCTGTATTGTCTATGCAGGCCATGAGGCATTTGAGAGTATGTATTATGTATGTAATGCATACCAGGGCTTTAAACACTTTCTTTCTTCTCTTAGTCAAGAATCAGCTTCCAGCTCACATTACTCTGTAAATTTATTCTAAAAGAAAGGAGAAAAAGGAAAAAAAACCCCTAAACCTATTCAGCCTGAGTTTCTTCTACTCACTCAAATACAAAAGCTTGGACTGACATAAAAACATGAGGAAGATTTCTCTAGGATTTGGTACAGTTCAGGAAGGTACTAGTCCATTATGCAGTGGGAGGTAAGTGTATTCACTTCCCACAGAATTCCCAGGAAATCCTATAGAATAAGATGAGAAAAACCAAGTGTTTTTCTTGCCAGGTGCAGGATGACCCAGCCAAAGACCCTGGAAAGGCTGGTTTTTTTAACCTGCCCTGGCCTCCTTGCCCAGTGCTCTGGGAGACCTGCCAAGGGGCAGCTTGTTCCATGGGCAGGACTTGGGATGAGTTCTGTGTGTGCCACAGCAGCTCCTAAAATTGGGGTTTTTTATCAATATGAGCAGAGGACAAGGGCAAGGAGGGAAGGAAGTGACTTTTGTTATTGTGCTGTTTTCCTGCTGAATCAGGGAGAGTGCTCACTTGGGAGTGTGGAAATATATGGCTAAATCTTTGTTTCTGTTAATTCTGAGCTCATTTAAGAGATTCAAGATCCCCAGTGTGGAAAAGCATTTAAATTTACATTTAGAAACAAATGAACAAAAACCAAATCAGATCTGTACCAAACTGTAAAAATGCAACAATGCAGCACAAAAACCCTGGGTGCTGTAGGAGTTTCTCCTGACTGAAATGCTGTAGACAGTAGCTCTCCAGTTTAATGCTCTGCATGGATTCTTCATGGATAGACTGGAAAATGTAAAAGCAGCCCTTAAGGGCCAGGATGGAAATCAGGAGCTGTTTGTTATGGAGTGCTTCACTGGTCAGCTATCTTACACCACAGCTCTTTCTTACATTGTGTCTTTAGATTTCAAAGCAAACTTCTCAAACATCCTGTAAAAATTCAATTATTCCTAATTTTCATAAATGTAGGCTAGTAGTTTTAAAATATATGTATATATATTTATATATATGTATATATTTATATGCCTATATATCTATCTCATCCAGATAGATATATACACAGATAATCTATGCACAGCAAGCCAAACATACAAAAAATAAATACTCTCACCCCTCTACTGTATTTACAGAACAGATCTCATAATCCAGATTTTGTTAATAAATATTTCTAAACTGCCTGTACAGAATTTATTTTACTTATGTTGATGGATAGCCACAAAGCATATTCAACATATTTACAAAATATCTATAAATATAGTCTTAAAATAAAGCAATAGCTACTGAACCTTCAGCCTGGCTGGTTATGTACATTGAGTTAGTAGCTCAGCTGTTGCTTATTCACTATCACAAATGGGTAGTGCAACAAGTTAAAATGTGTATAAAAGATTATACATACAAAACTCTCACATCCTTTGGATGTTTGCAGTTCATTATAACTTTGTGGTTACCCTTCTGCAACATAAATAATGACCAAAAAGAAGAAGAAGGTTCTGTGATCCAAAGCAGATTTGTTCAGTGTTCAGATGACTGGAGCAGCATCTTCATCCTCATGGCAACCCATCATCTTCTAAGCTTAATGCTACACGCTGGGGAGGGAAAAACACACTTTTGTGAACTGTGACACTGGTGCTAACTTGTGTTTCTTGTTAGAACTCTCATGGCTGTCCCGACTGTATTGGTCACAAGTCTGTTCTAGATAGTGATTTTTTTTCCTCCCCAAATGAGGTCACTTGCTCAAGTGTTACTAAAGAGGTGCTGGCAAGTTTTCTGCCCATGTACATTGGCTAAAATTCCTTGTAAGGGATGGCACTTTCTCCAGTGTGATCTTGTGTGGGACCTTTAGATCCTAGAGGACATTATCCACCCACTTGCCTGCCTACAGGAGCTGTACTGCCTTCACTCACTACTCTGGATCTTCCTGCTCTGTCCTGAAAATACAGTGCACTTACACCTGCCAGTGCTGCTCTCCCCAGGGATGCTGCTGTGAGGGAGGATCCTTTTCCTTCACTTCTTACAGAACCTCATTCACTTCTCCTTGTGAGGAATGTGACTTTTCTTTATACTGTTACTATAGAAAAAATATTCTCCCTGGTTTGTAGAAAAACTCAATTTATCTTTAGGATGGTTTGGGCATTTGGTAGCAGCTTAAGCACAGATAAAACAGAATCAGGGGGATGAGTAATCACCTGTCCCTTCCTGAGGGAGCTTTACAGGGAGCTTTACCTTTGTCAGATTGGTACCTTGGTTAGGACAATTATTCTTCATTTGGACTGAGCATCTGATCCAGAGCACTTCATTCTAAGACAACTGCATGGGCTGCCAGAAGTTTAGGCCTCTGCCTAATCAGTGCTACTAAAGCAGTTCTGGTTTTTGTCATTATGTGGCAAATAAGCAACACTAATCCACATTCTGTCTTGGAACTCTCAACAGAATTAATCTTCATCAGCAGCCATCTCCTCAGGTACTTACTGCAGGGTACACGTGTCCAATTTGGGCAGTTCGCCCAATGTGGATTTCATCTTCATCTTCCTCTTCTGTTGTCTTCCTATAAACTGGATTATCAAAATTCATGCTTTTAGTATTCTTCCGCTTCCAGTTTCTCCAGATGAGGTATCCTCCCATGCACAGCAAGCCAATGACCACTGAGGAGAGGAGAGGACAGGGGAGAGAAAGGGCTGTTAGGTGGGCATGGATCTGCTGGGATGTTCCCATGTTGGCAGCCATCCTCACATTTTCTCAAAGCTGGGCTACTGTTCCCCAGTTCAGCAGGTACTCTTTCCCACCCCACCCCTGAAAACTGGAAAAGTGTATTTAGTGTGGTGAATACAATATTTTGGTATTGCATTTTGGTGAACTCCTTCAAAGGTTAAATCCAGTCTACTTACCCACAGGAATGACAATCCCAATCACAGCTGCTGTCACAGTTGAACCGAAGCCTTCATCATCATTTGCATCTGTAATTACAGAAATGTTCTGATCATTTAACTCGTTTGCTGCTTTAAAAGAATGTTTTCTGTTAGTACCTGAGCTGTTCTGCCCATCAGAAAGCTTCTGCAATTAAAGAATTTACAGAAAGTTTCATAATAAAATTATTCTGGTGACAGTGAGCAGCGCACGGGGATCTGGGCTGAGCTCCTTCTCCTGAGGAACGAGGTCCCTGCCGCCCGGGGGACAGGGACAGCCCAGAGCCTGAGGCCAGGGAAGGGACACGCTCCAGGCTCCGGGCTGTCAGAGCAGCTCTGAGCAGAAATGGGTGACTCTGCTCGGGCCTCCAATTTTCACACACAAAAAAGGAGGCCAGTTTTAAAAACCTGACATTTAAAAACCTGACATTTAATGGAAATGCCGTGCAGGCATCAGGGGATGGTGAATAGCATTCCTAAAAATCCACAACAGAACACTTTCTAGAACTGACACAATGAATGACTTATTGAGCTGTCAGAAAAAGAGTGTAGTTCAAAGCCATCTACACAGCTTCTCTGTTTAATTTTTTCCTTTTTTATTACTTATAGCTAAGGAGTTAGTGAACACATCTATCCCTCATTGCTGCAGCCTGCCCCAGCATGCAAGAGTGGTCCCAAAACTCAATACTGTACTTAGAAAAAAGCAATTACAGGAAAATATAACTTAAAAAAATTCAATCTAACCTTTCAAGTTCTATACTTTAAAATGTTTGCTCTCAGGTCTCATATCAGTAGAGAAAATCTACTTTTGCTAAAATATCAGGAGATGCAAGAGTAGGAACTAACTGTACTTTTTCTTTTGATACACCAATTCACACAACTTTTAAATACTTCCCTGTGGCAGGCTGTTCCATTGCATAGTTATTTACTTAATAAAAAGCCACACTATTTCCAAAGTGGACAATAAAAGCACTTTGCTTCCATGGTTTGTTAAAAAGGCAGTTGCAGCATTTGAAAGAAACTTGCACAAAGAGAACTGAATGCATTTTAGCCATTGGACTGCGCTTTCCCCACGCAGCACAATTCCACAGACAGGGGTGGTGTATTGCTGCTTTCCAGATGTAGTGGAAACAGTGAAACATTTGGGGGAAAACATAATTTCACTGTTTTGAAATATGCATGTCTGTTTGAGGTCTTGCAGAGCAAAATCTCTCTGGACTAGAATTTTTTTTTAATAGCAGTTCAGCCTTTCTGCTTTGTCTTGGCAGCAGGACCTGGAGGGATTGCCTGTTAGCTCTGAGATTGAGGCTGGTATTCCATTGAGGAGAGCCTATTAGTGCTCTCCACTGGGATGCTCTTCTGATAAATAATGCAAAACTTCAAACCTGTGTCAGGATGAGGCCACATTAACATGCCAAGCACGGCCACACAAACCAGAGGCAGCTTGTCTTGGGCTGTAGTGATTCCACATGTCCAGCAGCACTAAAGATGCACAGGGGGAATTTTTCACCCACAACTTGTGAGGGATCACATTAATAAACAATTAAAATAGGTGAAACACCTGCAGAATCAGCCATTCTACTGTCTGCAGCACTGAAGCTGGGATGAGCCAGTACTGGGCACAAGGCAGGGGCTGATGTGAACTCTCAGGGTTGTTCGTGTGCCTTGAACAAAAGCTGATACAAGTTCCTTGACATGCCAAGTGACTGGAATTACAGCAGCCATCATAACCCAGGTGCCTGCAGAGAGAGGAGCTGATGTCTCCTGCCTGCACCTGACCCCTCTGGAATTCAGACATTCGGTCAGGTCTCCCACCAGTGCATGAGGAGTTGTGATACAGGAGAAGAAAAGGAATCTCATTCTCTTACAGTGCTGTGATAAATTGCTGTTTCCAGTGGTCATCTCAGAGTCTATCAGGATGGATGTGGTGGAAGGTAAATGAAGACTTGGGGTGGTGATTGTAGCTTCTGGTACAGCTTTGGGGACGACTTCAGTGGTGTCATTGGCACTGCCAGGTACAGCAGCGATGGTCGTGGTGCCGTCAGCACGGGACGCTGTGCTTGTGGGAACCACTACAGGGGTTGCAGTGGTTGGAAGATCTGAAAACCAAGAGCAACAATGAAATTTGGTTAAAGCAAGTACACCAAACAAATCACAATTGGTGAGATAAATCTAGAAAGGATTTTATGTTTAATGAAGAGAAGCAGAAACTAAATTCCAATTCTATTTCCCAGGTAGACAAACTATTGACAGTGCTCTGCCTAAAGCTACAGAAATTATTTCCTGAAGTCAAGCTTGATTAACTGATACTAATAAAAAAAGCAGTCTGCATTGAAGGTAGCTAAGAAGTTCACAAACTCGAGCGTTTTTGAGAACCTCCTAAGATTCTCAATTTGTACCAGGAACTTGTTGCATGTTAGGAAAAACTACAGTGAAGCCACTTGTCTCTTCAGGATATTATCAGCAACAACTGTGTCCTCTTCAGACCTGGTATCTACCTATAAATAGATATATAGATACCTAAATAGATATAAATACACATAGTGTGCATATCTATATATATAGATAGATAGATAGATATAGATAGATAGATATAAAATAAGCAATATATCAATATATGAGTAATCAATTCTTATGGTTTATTGACAATACACACTTCTAGTGCTGGTCCCTAGTCCTTTTTTTTCCTTCCTGCTGTATCTTTTTCTGGGTAAGTTTTCCAAAATAAGCAAGCTTTCAACAAAGGACACCACGGTGCTGCTGTGCTCAGAGGGCAGCAGGGAGTGGAATGCAGAAGTTGGTGTTTGTGTTTTCACCATCAGGAAATATATTCACTGTAAGTATGATTTTGTTGGGATAGTGAAATGGAGATGTGATTGTGTTTACCTTTGTAGCATTTTTTCATGTCAGGACCCAGCCACATATTGTCAGGACAGGCACACGTGTACTTGGGGGAATGGGGCGAGATCTGAGGTGCAGGAAGACACAAGTAGTCACAGCCTCCGTTTGGCTGGGGGCTGAGCTCACAGAAATCTGGAGCTGTTCAAGGATGGAAGGAAAGACAAGTTATTTTTCTAATAATTTATTTCCTGCCCTTGGCAAAGAAATATCAGATCCCCTGAAAAGACCTTCTCCCGCTCCCTACCTCAATTTATCAGGCTGCTTAAGCGTCTTCACAGTTTGTACGGTAGAGTGGAGCCTCACAAAGTACTATAAAAACTTCCCAATGCATAATGAATGGGAAGCATCACAGTGACAAGAGTAACTCACTGTTATCAAAGATGCTAATTAAACAGCTATTAGCAAATTGCAGATTCTTCAATAAATGCTGCTTCTCAATTAATTATGCAGGAAGTTCAAACATTAGGCATTGATTTCCCATTATTACCTGTGCATTCTCTCTCATCAAGAACCATCAGGGAGCATTTCATTTGCCAGCTCAAACAAACCTGATTCAGGGCCATGACATCCTGAGGACACCTCTCACCTTTGGGCTGCTTTAATTCATGGAACACCACGATGTCATGAGGGTTATTGAGATTCTCTGCCAGAATGGAGATGTCCAAGCCATTGAGCCTGTTTGCACTGAAGATCGCCTCGTTCTCCAGGTCAGTCCAGAACACTCTGTCCTGCAGGGAATGCACAGATTCCTGACCTGGCCTGCTCAAATCCTACTCGAGTTGGATTAAACTCCAGCAGCCACAAAGTCAGTGCACCATGCTCCTACCTTGGGGCACCATCCTGTTCACGCTACTTCTGTCTGCAGCTTTTTTCTATTTTGGACAACGTGCAAAAGCCCAGCACTACTACAAGTTTACAACGTGCTGTATAATTTTGAGTAGCCCTGAGACTGAGGTGAGGGAAATTTGTTAAGGTACAGACAAGTGTCATCCATGTTGTTTCTGAACTGCTTTTTCTTTGTATGTTGAGGTAGAGCATGAGCAAGGGGCCACACTGTCTACTAAAAACATTTGTTACTTTGCTGATTTTTTCCTCCTTTCCCAAGATAAGACCTGCATTAAACAGGTATCTGTGAAGAGGCCAGTGCCAAGAGCACACCTGGAAGCTGAGCACCCACTACTCTTTTATATGACTATCTTTTGCATGGCATACTATGCCTGAAGATACAGAACTACTGGTGGAAGAGGTACCCAGAAATCACATTATCACCAAACAGTTTAATTGCTTGGTCATCTGTGTGTGCTTCTGCCTCCTAAACCCATGCGTACTTCTGTAAGGAAAGCCACACTGCTGAACAACAGGGGCAGATCAGCAAAAGCAAAAGGGTTGTCTGTTATTCTACCCAGCCATTCCTACCAGGAAGGATGAAGAGAGGTGAAATAACCCAAGAGATCCTTCCAAAGGCTGCTGATGGGGATAGCACTGAAGAGCAACAATGACCTGGAGAAACCTATGCCCAAAGTTAGATGCACAGATATCACACACTTCACATAGGAGGAATAAGGGATTTAAGGATGAGGGTTTTCCTGAGCCAGAAGCCAAGTGGACCTTTCTCTGCTATAACTTACCTACAGTGAGTGCCAAAGCTGAAGACTTTGTTCCCCATATCATTTAATGCACTGGTGCTGCATTAGGTAAAAGCATGAGATAACACTTTGCTCTTGATTAAGGCTTTAAAAACCAATTTCCCTGCTGAACCCACACGAGGTTAATCGGTTTCTATAGTAGCAGCTGCCCTCACTGAGCTCTGTGCTGTGCAAAAGGCAGAACTTTTAATCAAGAAGAGCTCTGAGACCTCTTGCAGGCTCCAGTCTGTTCTGCATCCGTTTTCCACTCTTACCTCAAACACTGCCAAGCCAAAAGGATGGCTCAGATCATCCACAGAGGAGATCAGAACTTTTCTGTTGCTGCCATTGAAATCAATGCAGGACAGTGAATGCAATTTGGAGTCTACCCAGTAGAGACGCTGATTCAGCAAATCTGGAAAGTAAAACACAATGAAGCAAAATTACACACAGTTCTTGCAACTCTTTTGCTCTTGCCCAGCATGTTTTTCCTGCTGGCAGCATGACTAATCTCTTTATTATTGGGACTCTTTTTTTTTATTAACACTAGTTCTGATTTTGAATCGGTGCCCAGATATGCTGGAATAAGACCCTATAAATAAGATTAAAAAGGAGGAACATTCTGCTGTGTGTGTGTGGGGAATGCCTGACTGACAGCCTTGTACAATGAGGTTCTTTTGTTACCAGGAGCAGCAGGGAAGCAGCAGTTTGGGCTTCCCAGATTCTCTCCATCAGTGCCTGGGTGAGAAGCTTCATCCCTCCCAAGGTTGTTCAGGCCTTTTGCTGGAGAACAACTGAGATTCCAAGGAAACACCTCTCTGAAGGAGCTGTGAGAGTCACACATTTTCATGAAGATGAGTCCAGGGGCAGGAAACCCTTATGCTGCAGGCTGGAGGAGTCTGCTGGTGGGCACAGTCCTACCACAACCAGCCAGGTTTGGGGAGGTGCAGGTAAAAGTGGGAGGAAAGGATCCAATGTTATTTGGAATGCTAAGAACTGCATTTCTCTTTCTGGAGCAAATTCACTAATTTTGGATGGGATTCATTGAACAGAATGCAAGTGGATGAGAGCCAACAAAACCAGTTATATAATTAAACAAGTTAATTAATTTCTTAATTACTAAATGATAACATTATTTGTTCACAGCAGTAGCACTTCAGCAGTATGAAATGGCAGCAGCATTTCCTCCTCCATCCTTGCCACAGCCAGCGTTTTCAAAGCCAAGCAAAGAACCTCACATCTGCATGGTGTTGAACACACACAGCTCCAGCTCCAGAGCAGGATGTTCCCTGCTCCATGAAACCTCCTTCCCACTCTGCTGCTTGGTGTGCAGTGAGAGCCACCACAGCCCTCTGATGGGCTCCATTCACCCTGAGCAGCTGAGGGGCAGGGAATGGTGACAGGGAATGGGCTCTGCAGGCCCTGTCCCTCTCCCTGAAACACTGTGCATCATTCATCAGTCCAGTGCAGGATCCTGACACTGCTCCTGAGACAGGCCCAGGTACAGGGACATTTAACACCAAGGATTCAAATGCTTTTCAGACTTCTAAAGGGTTGTCACAGCTCTGAATCCTTCCCCAAAATTTCCTTTTGCCTTAAGGCACAATGACAAGCAACTCAAGGCTCCTGCAGTATGAAGTTCTTACTACAGCAAGACTTCCTGTCTGTGCTACTGAGATAAGGGAACTCATGTTTGTGAACAGTAGTGACTGACTGGCCAGTTCAGGATTTTTGTGTGCAGGTGCCTTTGAGCATTTACAATTTTGTTTTCCCACTTAACAATAAAAGCAGATTTCCCTCAGCCCCAGTGGGTGCTGCAGCTCTGACCTGGCACTTACCAAGGGTGATGCCGTTTGGCCACTCGATGTTGTCGGTGACCAGCACCCGCCGCCCCACGCCGTTCAGACCGGCCTTCTCGATCTTGGCTTTGTCTCCCCAGTCAGACCAGTACATGAACCTGAGAGAGGCAGAGGTAAGAAAGCAATAACCTGGACTCCAGTTAAGAAAGCTGCACTACTGATTGCAGTAGGAAGTGCCAAAGGTTCTCTCCTTACTGTAGCAATTAATTCCTCTGGTGGAACGATATGCAGTTCTCCCACTGGATAATCTGCCACAAAACTTGTGCCAGAATGCAGCATCTCACCCCAGTAACTAACCCCTGAAAACTCTCCTGCTGTGCCTGTTAGGTACCTGGCATTCACTCATCCAAATAGCCCAAACACCAGTCAGACAGACTTCATTTCCCAGCACAGTGCCGGGACCAGCTCAGGCGCATTGAACACATGAACTGGCCCTGAATTGACTTTAACAGCAGGGACCTTGCCAAGGGCTAGTTAAAGCATCTCCACAGTCCCACTGCAGGGTGTATCTTAAAGGGCATCTCAAGTCCTGGTGAGATGAGAACTACCCCCAGGTTTGTGACTGGAATGTCTCTTTGGCAAAGGGGGGTGTGGGGTGTGCACACCTACCTCTGTGTGGGATCCACAGCGATGGCTCTGGGCTCGCTGAGGTCACTGTTGAAAAGTGTCCTCCTCCTGCTTCCATCTGCAGTGGCCACTGAGATGGTCTTGTTTCCAGAGTCTGTCCAGTAGATGTTCTTATGGACCCAGTCGATGGCCAGTCCCTCGGGGGAGTTGAGCTGGCTGTCGATGAGGATCACCTGCTCGGCCGTGTCGCTGGCTTTGTCGATGTAGGCGCTGCAGGGACAGGAGGTGACAGGGCTCCCACACGGCTCCCAGAGCTGGGCCCCAGGGGCAGCGTGGCTGACACAGGAACCCTTATGGTGCTCCTGCAACCTTCTGCTTTGCCCTACAGCCTCTCATTTCCCCATTTCCATATGGCAGCATTTCCACGGTAGGGAGCTGTGCATTTCATCATTCTACCTGCTTCCTACTGTAAGTGCACAATTCAGGAAAACATTTGACTTCTGGCATGTTAACTTCAATAGCACTGATTTATGGGATTTATGGACATTAAAAATACAATCTCCAGAGCTCTGCTGAACAGAGTTGAACTGAGCATGCAATAAATGTGCTTAAATGTACCGCAGAATTAGGAGCTGTGTAGCTCATTATGACTCATCAAAGGAATTCATGAAGCTGCATTAATTTGGCAAGTGATTTCACTAGATACAAACAAACGTTCACTAAATATTAGTGGCAGCCTCAAAATCTTTCAAAACTATAATGAAAGGCAGCAGACTCCACATGGATGTTTCATAAATAACTGGAATGTTGCTCCTACAACCACACAGGCTGATTCTGATCTCAGTATCAATTCTGCTGAGTGCACTGCAGTTAGTTATTCTGAGTTTGCATCAGTGTTTGCAGGAGCTTAGTCTGGCTCTAAGAATAACTCAGTACATCTTAGAACAGTTATAAAGCAGCAGGAAGTTTCTGCCCCTCACCCCAAATATTTGATATCGTAAGATACTTCCTCTTCACTGCCCATCCTGCCTTTGCTCATGGAATGAGAAGGTGAATTGTATGGGACTTGAGTTCTCCAATATCACATTAGAGTTGGAACTGAAACATCTAAACCCAGGAATTCCTGACAGTTTTACAGTCTGCACTCAGGGCTGGAATGGCCAGGCAGAGTCAGCCTGGATGACCAGCACACTGCTGCATCTTCCCTACAAGAATGGTTTTGGTTTGTTCCTGAGCCAGCACCACAGGAATGGTACCTCAGGGCTCTATGGGCATCTGACAGAGCTCCCAGTATCCCAGTATTCCAGTGTGATGAGCACCCCGTGCTCTCAGTGCACAGCTCCAGGCCAGGCAACCCCTTGCCAGTGGAACAGTTGTGTTCCCTGCTTCCCACCTATGCCTGCACAGGAGCGAAAGCAAAGAGGCCCCTGCAGCTTCCACAATGGAAGGAAGGGCTCAAGTACAGGTGACTTTTCAATTCTCCCAGTAACCAAATATTGTAAAAGATCTGACACCCCAAAGGAGACATCACCTCAACAGCACAGGATCTGGAAAAGCAAGTGAGGTGACCATTATGAAGGACAGGATCTCTTGCCAGTGATTACCTCCTGTGCCACAGTTTTCACCTTGCAATAGCCTCTCAGCCACAGACTGCTTGTTCCCAGGGACTCCAGCATATTTGCTGTAGGAGAGCTGCAGGAGCAGTGTCTTGGATAATTCTCTGTGTATGAACTCAGCCCTTACCCAGACTCAGTGAGTGCTGACAGCTCTTTTCTGAACCATCCTCCCACTTTCAGAGCCCCACAGCCCCCTCAGGGTACCTGCCCAGCTACTGGTGGTCAATACCCAGCACAGCTGGGGCAGACATCCCTGCAGGGCACGGGAGCTACCAGAGCCTGGCCTGGCTCCCATGTGCTGACACCAGTCAGCCTGTGCTTGACCATTAGCTGAAATCCAGAGCAAACCACTGCAGAAGCTGCAATAGCTGTGCAAATCAGAATATACACGAGGGATTTTCAGCACATAAATTAAATGCTTTTTTGGCTAAGCACACTCACAAGCCCTGGCACATAATAACTGTGATGGATGCCACAAAAACAGCTGAAGGAGGAGTGAGAATGCGAGTTATAGAATGTGTACTGTGGTCAGGTGCTGTGAATTTAAATCCAGTCTATCAGAGACTACAGTGGGCAGCAGCTTGTGTCTGTGTGGCTGCCTCCTTGCTCCCACCATTTGCCTGCTTTGTGCTTCCAGATGCCAGGTCCTTTGTGGCCTCCCATAAACACTCACAGCGCAGCAGCAGCCTGAGCCCTGCTTTGCAGTATCCATGGCTCAGGAAACAAGAGCCTACATTTAACTGCTTAGGTGCAGCAGGATCTGGCATTGATGAAAAGTCACCCTGTATTATCAAAGAGATAACCGCACAAACCTCTGATATCTTTACCAATTCCCAAAAAAAGATTACCAAGTCTGGGCCACAACAGGTTATCCTGTCAGGGTAGAAAAGCCCTCAGGTGCCCTGTACCTGCACTGTTCTCTGGACTGCTTTGGGGGATACAGATGGAATGCAGCTTTGGCAAGGGACCAACACACACATCCTCCCTTGCCCCTTACCTGTAGATTTTTCGGTAGAACAAGTCACACCAATATATTCTGTTTGTTGACACCTCCACATCCAGCGCCACCACGTTCTTCAGCATGGGAATGATACGGGAATAGTCCCTTTTCACCAGGTCTATTTTACGGACCTCGTGGCGATTGGTGAAGATCAGGTACGGGCTCTTGCCTACCACAGAAAATCAGCACATTTGTCACTTCAGCAGCTGTCCCAAGGGCTGGATTCAGCTTTCATTTGTCAAACAACAATGGAATTATCAGTCATTGATGGCTGTGTTTGTACTGAAGCTTTACACCACACTGGAAGCAAGTGGAAACTTGCTCCAGAGGCAGGGCTATCAAACGCAGGCACCCCTGTGGTCCCTGGACACACACTGGCACTTGGACAGCCTCTGGGGAATGGCCTCATCTTCAGTTCATTTCAGCACAAAATCCTGGGCCAGATTTTGGTGACTTACAGCTGGGAGGGTGGAGGGCTGGCTCAGCTACCCTGTTTTAATCGGGATGTTTTCTTTCTTTCAATACTACTACCACAAAATGTTTTTGCTGCACTGTTTTCAATAACACCTGTCAAGAGACTTTCTTTTCTAGTTTCAGCTTCAAACAGCCAAGTAGTGACTGCAATCTTGCTCTGTACACTGTTAAAATATTCTGATCTGCATGATCAGTAGTTCTTGCCTAGGGACGCATCTGCTGTTGCTGCAGCAGCTCTGTGCTGCTCACAGTGAAATTTCTTTGCTTGATTTGCCTGTTTCCTTTTGTTTCCGTTCCCCTGCCTCAGCCCTGTGAGCGTGTTTTCCTATTGGAGCTGTGCTGTTGAGCAAGCAGAGTTTTCGTGCCTGTGGCGTTGTCTTACCTACAGCTTTGCAGTTCTTGGACAGGGTGTCCATCTCGTATCCTTCGTAGCACTCACATTTGTAGTCTCCCTTGTAATTAATGCAGATCTGGCTACAAGCGTCTGGATTCTCACATTCATCTATGTCTGAAAGGAGTGTTTGAAACCCATCAATAACTTGAAATCAAACCATCTGTGATGGAGCAATGCTCAAGTGAATATAATCACGTCTCTCTATGGTGAAACACAAGGGACTGCTGTTTGCATGTCAATTACCTCCACACGTTTTTTTATCCAGAAGCTTGTATCCAGGCGGGCATTCGCACTCGTAACCGATCTTCAAATCTTTGCATATGTGCGAGCAGCCACCGTTGTTCATCGAGCATTCATTAACACCTGCAGGGGATACACAGATCACCTATGACAAATGGGGGCTTTTAGTTGTGAGATCGAATAAGATTAAGAGATTTCCTCAGAAATTTTCCCATTTCTGTCAGTTTTGGTACTGGCCCTATAGAGCACGGGTGCCTTCAGAGACAGGAAGCCTCCACTGTATCACTATCTTACTCTTTATTATTCCAAACCAACACTGGGGGATCATTTGGACTCAAAGCTGGTGGCTGAATGAATGGGGAGCCCTGGGGATACAGCGAATGTGAGTCTCTGCATCTCATCCCTTCAGAGAGCCGCTGCTTTGAGCTGTTCTGCCACATGTGAGAAACTTCCAAGGGACCTAAGGGCTCTCACCAGCATACTCCTCCTTCCCCATGCGCTGGTGCATGTTGACTTTTCTGAACAGTCTCTCTGAGCTTTAATAATTCATGCTGGGGGACTATCATCTCCCAGGGGCCAGCTATTTTGAAATACTCTACTATTTTCCCATCTAGCTCCAAGGAATGATCTATGTGAAATATTCCAGAAAACACCGAAGTGCAGTCTGTCAGAGATACTCCATTAGCACTGAGATACAGTCCTCCCACAAACACGTCCCCCACAACAGTCTTTGCTGGCACCCCCAGCAGTCCCAGTGTGCAATTTACAAAGCAACAGCCCCCATCCTCTCCTGGGGCCTTTTCTAATCCACCTCTCCGATCCTGCTCTCAAGTGCTGAAATGAAAAACAGATTAAATGGATTCTTGAAAGTAGAACTGAATGAGAGATTGGGAAAAGCTGGTTTCCTGTCAGAGAAAACATTTCTTCTTGTTGTAATTGACCTACAAAAGGTGAAGAGAAAGTTCTCTCCTTAAAGAAGACTGCTGAACAGGAGTTGTGGGATTTCAGGGACAGTGGACTCACCAGAACAAGGAAAACAGATTTGCTCCAGTCTATAATGCCATTTAAAGGCAAATTTTTCATTTAACTTTTACTTCTTTCTTCCTTGCACACTGCAGGAGAGCAGCACAGCAAAGCCATTAAACCATTGCTCTTGGAAGAAAATGGAAACAACCACAACCCAATTAAGTCAGTAAGACAGGGAAAATACCATGCCAGAAGGAATCCATCTCAGCTCTGGGATGCTTTCACCTTCCTAGCAGGGACATACAGAGATATCAACACATAATTAATGGAGCAAGTTCACCAGCCTCCGAAAAGGTGTCCACAGTGCCACTGTGTGTTGTCACTGTTCAGTGACATTTATGGACAGAAATCTCCTACTCCTACACTTGCACAGGTCTGCAGCAAATTGGGTCAACATGCACAACTGCTCTCTGCAAAATACTACAAAGGCTCTTTTGATTAACAAGGCAACTCTCACTCAGGTGATTCCTGTGGTTTCTGAGGTGCTCTGTGGAATGGATTTAGGGGCTGTAAATCAAGTGCTGGTTCACTTGCTGCACTTGTCAAGAGGAGCTGAGGAGGAGCCAGGCAGGAGCATCCTGGGCAGCTGCTGCTCTTCACCCAAACCTCAGCAGTATATTCCCTGCCTGACTAAAATAGCCAAGTGTTGTCCTGCCTTCTGCAGGGGGACTCTCAGAGGGCACTGCAGAGTTTAGCATGGCCAGACAGACACACTGAGCTGGGGAGTGTGTCCTGCACCTCTGCCTCCTGTGGGGATAACCTGTGTGTGGGCATTGCAGTCACAGCACTGTGCCCTTTGAGAAACACCTTCCCCTGGGGGCTCTTCTCTGCTTCCCAACTCAGACAACACCCCATTGCCAGCCCAGGGCTGCACCAATCATGGCACCATGATGCTGGGTGGAGCACCAGCCCAGCTGTGCCACTGCCCAGTCTCCTATGACAAACAGGGCTGCCAGCTCTGTTGGGAGACCTCCACAGACAGACACTGCAACACCCACTCAGAGAAACAGGGAGATGTGGATTAGTGGAAGAAAGCAAGGGCACACTGGAAGCATGAGGTAGGAGCATCTTCACTAGGCATGCACACACTCTTCCTTGTCTAAAACAGGGAGAGACTGACAGTTCTTCCTGAACAGGAGTTATTTAAGGGGCAGCCACTGAGCTGCATGATGTCATGGAAGGAGATGCCTGTTGGAGACATCTCTGCACTGGGGAGAACAACAAATGTGTTTGAGTAATGCTGCAGATTGGGGCTGGTGCCCACAATGTCTGGTGGGAAAGGCAAGAGAGGGCTGTCCTATGGAGAAGGGCATAGGTCTGTGGCCTGGGCTCTGTTCCCCTGGCTCCACCATCCCCAACTCTCCTGGCATTCCCACAGCCCAGAGCTGGCAGGACGTTGCAGGGAGCAGCCTGCTGTCATTGCTGAGGGAAGCAGCAACAACATGTACAACCCAGAAATGGCTGAAGTCCTCTCTGAGGGATTGCTGCCACTCTCCATGTTTTCACCTTCAAAGCATGTTCCCAGTGCTATATTTTTATGGTGTTATCATCATCTTAGAATTCAAAGATAATTTAGGCAATGAAGCTAAATAAACTAGTCTGTGTTGTGGAGGACACTAGTAATTGGGGAGAGGGGGAATTCCTCATTCTTAGTCCCATGCTCAGTTCATACATCCCTCCAAGAATAAAAACTGAGTGGAGAAGGGCACAGTTCAAACTTACAGATGATCAGACTAAGCTACTAATTATATTCATATGAAGGGTGATGAGAGAATAAAGGCAAGGAAAGAGGAGCAGAGTGAGAAATAGCATTAGCAGCTACATGTGGTTACACTCAAAGCTGTGAGCACCAGATGGAGAAGAGGGGAAGCAGTTACAACAGGAGCAACACGTAGAAGGCAAGTACTGTACCACATTCTTTCAGAGGCTCGTCAGACCAGTCCCTGCAGTCTCTATGTGAATCGCACACTTTGCCTCCGTCAATGCACTCTCCACTCTTACACTGAAACTTGCTGGGACTTTCACATGCTGACTCTGTCATGTTGGGCAAGAGAGGAAAGCAACTAAGTTAGATGAGGCTCGTGACAACAAACAGGCTGACCTAAAGCTCAGGAGGGCATCATTAGCAGAAATGGGATGGAATTAAGCAAATGAACATTGAGCCTGAGCATCATGCAAAGAACTTTGCAAGCCATGCAGTCTGCCTGGTCACAACAATCATCTCTCCCAAGCGATCCCACTGCCAGAATGGCTTAAAACTGTACAGAAAGCAGCTTGGCATGGCCCAGAGGAGCAGCACAGGCCTCTTCCCTTTCCAGAGGCCACACAGCCCAGGCAGATTTACCCCATGGAGTAGGAGGAGCATCTGTACCCACCTTGGACACAGCCGGCCTCATCGCTGTCGTCAGGACAGTCGTGCACCTTGTCACACTGCTTTGCTCCATGGATACAGGTCCCATCACCGCACTGAAATTCATCTGGCTGGCAGGTCACCAGAGCTTTAAGACAACACATTCAAGCATCAGCCCCACAGAACTCAGTCATTGGTGTGGTACCCATTAGCCACGTTCCTCTGACACTGCTGGGCTGCATCCTCTGTCAGCAAATGTCAGAGTATTGGCTGTTTCCACCAAAGCAACAGAGGCAGCAGCTGCCTCTGCCACTGTTCTCCTGTGCCCCTCTGCTGTCCCAGATCACCCTCTAAACCCTTGGGCAAACAGCATCAAAGCCCATATGAGGACACCCAGTCAAAACGAACCCAGTGCCGGCAGTGAAGCTTCTCAGGTGACACAGAACAAAGCAAGCAGGCAGCAAAACTCCCAGCAGTGTGGCAGCTCTGGGGCTGCAGTCTGTGTGAGGCCAGGCTGCTTTCCAGCTGGGAGTGTACAGTGACACTGTGTAGGCAAAGGCAACTGCTCCTCAGCTCTCCTTCCTTCAGAAAAAATTACATTTCAGATACATTTCAAAACATGTTTGGGCTAAAGCCCAGGAAAGAGACCTGTAGTGACTCTGCCAAAGCAGCGTGGTCACAGCAGGGATAAAGGCAGCAACGAGACACAATCATCAGATTACCAAATGCCCATGAGCCAACAGCCCACTGGAAGGCAGAAGAGCTCCACTGCACTGTGATGTTTCTTGGGGTTTCCAGCTCTAAACACCTCCACAATATCAGCCCAGTTTTCATGCCTGAAATTCATTTGTCCAGGTCAGATTATAACACTCAGATCTGACAAACAGCAAAGTTGGGGAAAAATATAAACCAGACTCCTGCACAGACCATGCTAAAAGCAGTCATATATCCCTTCCCAAATTACAATGAATGAGAGACCTCCCTAGCTGGGACCAGCCCTGTGCTGACACAGGGTTCAGGCAGCCTGGCAAAACAGGCTCCTCATTCCTGGACATGTTTTGCAGCTTCTTTCTGAGGGGCCCATCGGATGTGTTCTTAAAATCCTATTAAGGCAGCACACCCTGGAGAGTTCCTGATTCCAGCCTTTCCATCACATGACTGTGTCCTGGTATGGGCTGACAGAAAATCACTGCTTCTGAGCAGTGAGGGGAGGCCAGCACTGGTGTTACTACATGGGAGGTGAGAGCTGTCTGCAGACTGCTCTGGACAATTTGACAAACTGGTTCTAATATAAAAATGAGTAATTTCAGATAACCCAGGAAGAGCTGCAGACATGAAGTGAGCCAGCATCAACACCATAAAGTGTCAGTTGCACAAAGACTCCACATTATTGGTGATTGCATCCCACAGGATGCAGGATCCAGGTTCATGGCTGCTTCACTGGACTAGTTCTAGTGCATCTTCAGCGAGCAAAAGGCATCACAGACAGGAAAAGCCTCAACTACAGGGCTGGAGGGAGAAGGGAGAAATCCTGTCATTAGAAATACACAGTATTCACAAGAGGAAAGTTTGGAAATAGCACTGCTCCTTGGAGAGGAAAGCCATATGCACTATATTCATAAAAGCTGCAAAGTGAGAAAAAAAATCCCAAGTAATAAGCACAGTTATAGGAGCAGCTGTGCTGCCACGTTTCAGCTAATAAACCCAGGCACAGGAATGGGAAGCCTCAGTGGGACATCTGGGACAGCAGCTCCAAACTAAGCACATGGGATCTGCTGCTCTGCCAAATGCAGAAAAATGAAGGAGGGAAAGAAACTAAGCTGTGGTCTGGGAGAGTCACAGAGCACAGGTCTGGAAGTGGCACCAAGAGCTCCTGCAGGGAGGCAGAGCCACTTCTACTCAAACTATTCCTGGCATGTTCAGCCTCCTGCCTGGGGAAGCCCTGACCATGGAGAAAGCACCCTGCTCAACAGGAAACCTGACTTCTGCCAAGCTAAACCTTGGCCACTGCAAGGCTTTTCAGTTGTCTCACTGAAAATTCCTTTGCCACAATTATTTATTGTCTTCACCCCTAACTTGAAAACCAGTTTGCTTCACCTTTTCTGTAGCAACTTCTGTGTGTGGAGGTAGGATAGGATGATCCTCCATTTCTGACTGTAAATATTAACCCTCACAAAGTGTAACATGTAATTAAAGGAATGGGGTTTTGTCTTTTCTGGAGCAGAAACAGGTCTCCAGTTTATCAAGTAAATCTGTGTGACAACAGCTACAGATTTGGAAGATGGCTGCTATAAAACCTATAATTGTCTTAAACTGTAATCTTCAAAGCTCTTCTAAAAAGCAGTTATAGCTAAATGCTAAAACCAAAAATGTTTCTAATCCTAAAACTAATTAAAATTAGGAGAATTTTGTAGGAATTGCAAAGACAATGCTGCACAAGCACCAAAAGACTGAGAGAAAAATGACAGCACAATTCTTAGCTCAGTTGCTACAGAGACTGCAAAACACAGATGTGGGGCTGTACTGCACTGCACAAAACTTTGCTTCAAGAAGAGACAGAAGTTTGGAGACCAGGCTGGGTTTCCTGGCTCAGTTCTCACTCCACCAGAGCTGTAGAAGTTCAGACCTTTGAGGAGCAGCCCCTGATTCTCTTAACAGACAGTAGAAAAGGCAGATACAGTAACAGCTCTTACTGATTTCAAAGGCACTAAAATGCATGTATGGCATTTCTAATTTTTGCTGCATTTCTCAGGAGAATTCCCTATTATCCTGAAGTTGAGGCATTAACCCATCTCAGCCCCACTGGCAGAGCTGACAGCAGGTTCCCATTAAGGCCATTCTCAAGGAAAAGCAATAACTCAAGAAGAGGGAAAAGCTGTGCTGTTTATTTGCACAAGATATTCAGAAAATCGCTGAGCCTAATTTGGAAGGCTTAAATCAGTGAAATCTCAGTAGTTTTACAGCCATCTCCTCAGCAAATCAAATACAAAACTAATTACCAAAGCCCTGCTAAATTAACAGGCCTCCTCAAAGAGACACACTTCCCATTCACAAATCCTGGGCACAAAGCTGCATCGCCCAAATTCAGCAGGTCTATTCCAGACTCCAAACCTGAGCCTCAGTTTCTTCTGGTTTCTGTCTTCTTTTCCTTCCTCCCAAAGAAAATCCCAACATTTGCAAAATGCATCAATCCCATTTTATAGATGGAGAGACAGAGGCAGGAAAGTGTGAGGTCAGGTCTCAAGGGGTCTGTTTTCTTGCTGTCAGTTGTAAGCATTATTTATTCTCCCTCCTGGATGCCTTAATGCAAGTTGCAAAGGACATTTTAAAATATAACCATTCCAGATTTGGAGACTAATAAATCTAACCTAATGTTCATTTTATAAATATACATATATACATATTTGAATATATATGCTATGGAAAAAACCCCAGCCACCCAATGTTCTCGCACAGCCTTCCTGAAATGACTCATTCCTTCCCATTTATTGCTGTCTCGTTGCCAAAACCTGTTCACCAATTGTCACCCTTCATTTCTATTCCACTCATTTACCAATCCAAAATGTTTATAACAAATGATGGTTGATGGCCTCATGACTTTTTTTAAAATCATTAGTTCATATGCACAAACCCCATATGATCCCCATTTGCAAGACAAGATGTAGTGGTGGGATCTGCAGTTTAATCAAGTCCAGCCAAGGGGCCCATGTGCCATCCTTGTTGCTAAGGGGACAGAGCTGTGTCACACACCTGTAACTCTCTGCATGTCCCATGGCTCTGATCTCAAACAGAGAATTTCTGCAGAGGAAAATAATCAGAAAGGTCCCTAAACTCTACAGTCCAACAGACGAGCAGTGACGCTGAGTTTCCAGAGCTCCCAAATGTCCCTTACTGCAGGCAGGTGCACCCCAGCAACAGCTGCATTTAGGATGGGGAAGCAACATTAATTTTGGCTCTGACCCAGCCAACACATCAGCTACACGAGCACTCGGTGCTCAAGGCCTCTCTTGGCTGCTGCCTCAGAGAATCCCATCCGTGCAGCATGGACAGCTGTGGGCTCACACACTGCTGTGGCACTGGCTGCAACCAGAACCAGGCACTGTGTGCAGAGGAGCACTGAGGTAGCTAAAACAATGGGGCTTTGAATCCACTGTTTCCCAGTGCACAGGACTGAAGGCAGCACGATCAGCTCACATCCTTGTTTCTCCCAGGTAGACAAACTGCACATTCTGTTGGATTGAGACTTTCTGGAAAGAGACCCTCGTTGTGCTACATCTCCACTAGTCAGAATTCTCTCAAGTCTCTTCTGCCACATTTCCCCCTTTCTCCACTGGTTGTCAGCACCGTGCTGTGCTGCAGCGGTGTCCAGCTGTTCCTGGGAGCTGCCTCTGGAAGTGCTGCTGGCTGAGGCTGCTCTGCAGCTCAGGGAGGCTGGTGGAGCTGTGCTCCTTCGGGCCTCACAGCTGGGCAGTTTGAGCTCAGCTGGACATGGCTGGTGCCTGTCACACCAAGGAGAGAAGCTGGGGAACAGTGGGCCCTCTGCCTCTGGAAGGTACATGGGCACAGTCCCACTCCTCTCACCCAGCAGAATGTCAAAATAAGTGGGGCCTGTAAAAGACTTAAAACATTTCAAGTTGAGCAGGGATTGAAATTTAAGAGGCATTTCATCAGAAAGAACCATCAGTGAGCTGCTCCCCTCTTTCTGCACTTGGCAATAGAAGGGAGCTCACCTTTCCTCTCCTGAGCTGTCCAAATTCAGCCATCCTCTCAGGCTGCTGTCACTGCAGGGAATGCATCCCGTGGGGCAGAGATCAGTTCTGCTGGAGTCTCCTATACCAGACACCAGTTCTTCACCTTTGTTTGTAACATGGCCCTGGCCACTGCCTCCTGATTTGCAGGGGACACAGGTACAGGACTGCCCACGGGAGGTCTTAGAATGAAAACAGGCACCAAGGCTGCCCCAGCCAGCAGTGCCCATCTCCAGCAGATGTGCTTCTGCATGGCCTTCCTGAAACAGAGCCAGGAACCAACTTTGTCTCCTGACTCCACAGTCCCCGTGGTCCTTCAGACCCTGGCAGAACTGCCTGGGTGCCTGCTGCCCAAGAGCTCTGTCAGCAACTTCAGCACCTTCTTGGAGATGAAGGAAAAGACAGCCTACCTAATCCACCCCTCCTTGGGAGGGGCTGACAGCCGTGTACCCAGCAGCCAGAGCTGCTCTCTTCCTAACAAAACGTTTTTGGCTTCTGTTCAGCTCTTGCCTCTCTTAAAAGAGTCCTTGGCAATTTTAAAAGCACAGCAGCTCCAGGGTAACCTGTGGCTCATCCCTCTGCTCTCCTGCAGTGCAAGTGGTGTCTAGGATTCACTACATCCTTCTCTTGTTAAAGAGAGAATGAATTTACACCTGCTTCTCTGTCTGGAAGGAAGTCTGATGCCCAGCTCCTTGAAGGGCTCTCCCACACTGCTGCTCACCAGCCTGGCCTTGGTGTTGTCACAGGTATGAAAGGATGGTGCTGGCAAAAGTGATACATTTTCTTAGATACCTTGCAAAAATCCCTGGGTTTGCAGCTGGTTGCTGCCTTCTTCCCCAGAGGTGGCCCAATGTCAGAGCTGCTAAATATAAACAGCTATGTAAATATTTAATTCCAATCTTGTCATTATGAATATTCTAGCAAAACATTTTGCTCTTGTTTTCTTCTCTCTCCCTCCTCAGGTAAGTGACCAGCTTGAACAGTTTAGTGGCTAAAAATGGATGAAACATTCAAAATACCACACATACCAACACCAGCTTGTTAAATGCATGAAGCCAGCGGAAAAGAAATCCATTATTTATTAGCTCTGTGCCTTTATCAAGCCAAACTCAAAATGCATGTCAAACTGGATTATTCAGAGGTACTTCTCTTGACTGCCTTGTTCAGTATACTCCAACTTCAGAGGCAGAAAAGGAATTATTTTTTCTGCTGATCATATATTCCCTTTAGCATGGCAGCTTCTAACCTCCAGGCTGTGACCCCACCATGCAGCCTGAGGGCTTTGAACATTTTTTCCACTTTTCACTCCTTGTCTTTCTAGTGAAACAGAACTCTTCTGAGGCACGGTACCATCCAACAGCTCTTACACCTCCTCTGTGGATTCTGAAGGAAAAAGCACAGAAGGAGTGTGGAATACCCCTGACCCTGCTGGGCTGGGCACCCAGCCATGTCATGTGGGACACAAGCGCTCCTTGTCTGGCCCAGCTGCTGCTCAGACATCAAAGCCTTTCCTTCAGACACAGCCCCCAGCAGCCTCCTGGCCCTTCCAGCCCAGCCCAGGGAGCCTCGGCCCTGCCCCTGCAGACACTCACGGCAGTCCTGCTCATCAGACTTGTCCTTGCAGTCCTCGTCCCCGTCACACTTCCAGTTGAGGTGGATGCACTCGCCGTTCCCGCACTGGAACTCGTGGGCCGCGCACGTGTTGAGCGCCTTGGCGTCGTAGCCGCACTTCTCCATGGACTCGTCCGACTGATCCTCGCAGTCGGGCTGGTTGTCGCACACCCACAGCTCCGGGATGCACACGCTGTTGTTGCACTGGAACTCGCTGGGGTTGCAGGTCAGAGGGGAGCACTTCCTTTCATCGCTGCCATCCCCGCAGTCGTTGTCGCCGTCACACACGAAGATGATGGAGATGCACGACTTGTTACTGCACTGGAACTCATTGGGCGAACAGGCTTGGGAATAAAAACAAACAGGTAAGCTGGGAGGTCTCCAACCCAGCCCTCACCAGTGGCCCAGCTTTAGCACGTTAGGGATGTCCGAGGGCAAAGGCATTACCAGGGCTGTCCTACCCCAAAACATTTCTCCCAATGGTTACCACACGGCAAGGAGCTGGTGAGGCCACAGCGCTCCTCAGCTGTGCCTCAGGATGCATCCTCTAGGGACCGGGCAGCCCTGGAGAAGGAGGGGCAGCAGGGCTGTGGGAACTGCGGGACAGCGCTGTCCTGGCACTGAGGAGCAGCAGGGGAGCCCCGGGCGGGAGCAGCAGCAGCAGCACGGAATGGGAATGGGAACAGGAATGGGAATGGGAACAGGAATGGGAACAGGAATGGGAATGGGAAGGTTGCAGGGAGAGGCTGGGCTGTGCTGGCAGCGCCGGGGCTCTGCTTGGCTCCACGCTGACATTACCAGCTTCCTGACTTTCATAAGCACAGAATCAGGTTTCAGGATTTCACAGTATGGCTGGTTTTGGACATATTAAGTGGGATGTGTAGGGTAAATATTTAGTGAGTCGAGCATCAATTTAGCTGCAATCTGCCAGTAAGGCCCTTTACAACACGCTGAATGCCTTCCCTGGAAATCACAACTCAACATTAACATACAAATGAGGCGCTTGTCAGATCGAAGCTGAGTGGAGCACTCTCCTCTACAAGCCTAATGGACAGCTGAACCAGAGATGCCTGCTCAAATTAAACTTTCAGGTACTCCAGCAAAGTGCAGTTCGAAGTCACTTTATTCCATCAAGGCACAGGGGAATCAAAACCATGGAAGAAATTCTCTGTAAGTACTTTGAGGTAGTTATGTACAAAAGAATTCTTCTGTAATTTCAGCCCTCTACAGGGAAGTTATGGCTTTGATAAATTACAAGTACAATAAATATAAATGCATATAAATTACAATAAGCTTTTTTTTTTCATTGTACTTGGGAATTTTTTTTGCCTTCAGAAGCAGAACTACTTACTGCCATATCTGCAGAGCCCCTACACTAGATCACACAGTTTAGATGGTACCAATCACTGCAATGGCAATTGCACCTGGAGAGCAGCAGAATAATCTCTCTAAAAAACCTGTCATATCCCAAATTTCAGCCAGTGACAGGAACCCAGTGGGATTCTACTGCAATATTATGTCTGATTTATGCCTGGGAATAAAGCTGTATTTATCCAGCATTTAAGAACCTGTTCACTTGCACAGATGCCTAATTGCATTCTGTCTGGCAAACTCACTGGGCTCTGCCTGATAACCTAAGCAGCCTCTCATTTTACATCAGAACACGAACATACACACACACGCACATATATGTTTATATCTATACATATCTATACACCTCTCCCCTCCTGCCCTGTGCTCTGTCCCATTTAGCCCCAGGTTCTCCAGATGTTAGAGCACAGCAATCCACCTAATTAGAAGAGAAGGAGGATTGCCTTCCTTGCTGCAATGCTGCCATGCACTGGCCAGGACCCAGGCTCTCTCCAGCAGGGAGAAATGTTAAAGAGAATCTCAGCTGCCCCACTTGACACCAATCATGGAATGCAACAGAGCGAGGCACCACAGGAGCTGCTCGGCTCCTTCTGCACTTGGTAGAGGATTTTAGATACTGAGATGCCTTCAACAGGCACCTGTACCTTGCAACAGCCACAATTTCTCCTCTCCAAACAGGAGGAACTAATACTAGGAGGTGAACCTTTCTCATAAGGACTTGAAATACAAGCACAGTCTGGTGGAAAAGCATTTAAAAACCTTCCTCTTTTTCATGGCAAACTTGAGACCATTAAAATGCTCTAAATATTACCCAAATTCTGCTCTATATCTCCATTCAGCAGATTTCTCTATCCTTACCCCATGACTAGAAATCATCTATTGGCCCTACTGATGGGTATCCAGCTATAACTTAACACTGTCTTCAGAGGAGCCATTACACGGAACTGCATCTGGAATATTCCTCCATAAAGTGGAAATTCAAGGTAACAGAATCTTACCAATCTATTTTGAAATGATTGTGGGAAAACAGGAATATTTCAATGGCTATGAATAGTTTCTGTAACAGATAAAGTCTGAGAAGAAGAAATTGCTTTTCTGGCATTATTTTGATGAATCTCAGAAACAGATCAGAGAGCAAAATCTTGCCTAGTTCTTTGATCCTTAATGTTTGGGCAAGATTGTAATGATTTGCACATTCCAAATGTGCATAAATTTCCTTTCCACCAATTGTAATGAACACCTCTTTTTCCCCTTGTTGTTTTCCTGGTCCCACCTCCACCCCTCCTCCTGTTTGTACAGGTTTCCCTTCAGAAATCTGCTGCATTGGCAAATTAGCGACTGAGAAACACAGAGTGGGATACAGACAATGGAAGTTTGCATAAAAGCTCCTCCTCTGCACCTACAAGTCCCAGTACAGATACAAAATTACTGATAGTCACAGCCAGAAAGTAGAAGCAGTTCAGCTTTTGTAACCTCTCATGAGGACTTTCTCAGTGAAGACTAAGAATTGCTAGCTAGAAAATTGCATGGTCATGATTATTTTATTTCTTTTTAAAAATTAAGTCCAGTGTGATGCCAGCACCAGAGACTACAAGCTCTCTCTCCACGAACCAGCACAGCAGGCTGGCTGTTGCTAACTCCCCTCTGGGCATCCAGCAGTTCCTTCTGGGTCACACCTGCCCCCAGCAGAGCTCCATCCACCCTTCCCCATGCCCTGCTGCTGCCATGGCAGGGCAGACAGTGTCCCAAGGGCCCTGACCCTTCCCTCATCCTCCCTGGCAGGCAGGGTGGGGAGCAGAGCTGTGCCCGTCCTGCGGCACCGCCTGGCACCAAGAGCCCGATAAATAAACACCACAATTATCTCACCCAGCACCTGGAGAGATGGGCACGGGGCAGGAAAGCCCCGGGGACAGTTTACTTCACATCCCCTTGCATGAATCTGTCAGGGTACCTCGCAGTCCCGTCACTACAGGATTTCATTGCCCCCAGAGCATTTCAGCAGAGAATGTGCCAGCAGTAATTAAATGATCGCTGGGGTATTTTTTGACTCCAGCAATTTGTTTGCATCCTCCAAATGTGCTGCCTATCTTATTGTAGGCTGATTCACTTAAGACCAAGGAATCAAATAATAATTTGCTTTCTTTAGCACAAAAGAAATTAATAAATGTTGTACTCTAAGGTGCAAAACCTACTTCAAACATGAGCGATCCCAATAGAAATCTTGGAAATGTTTGTAAAGATGTGTTTAACCAACAGTCTTCAAAGCATAACTACAACAGCAGTTTACTGTAGAGCACTGTAATGTTAAAAGGTTCTTCACAGTTTCAGGAAGTAAAATATCACACATAAATGATTATGTAGAGGTGATTTTGCCTATAGACAAAACACACCAGAGGTATTCTGCATTAATTTTTGCCCTGTGCTTTGTGCCAGTCTGTAGAGCACAACTGTCACAGTTTTTGCCTCACAGCCTGCAGCTGCACTCTTTGTCACATCTCTTGAGGAGAGTAGAGCAGAAGCAGCCTTGGGATAGAGGAAGTTAAAAATAATAAAATAACAGAAGATCTGAGAGATTGCAGTTGTGGAGTTAGTGTTTCGGTCTGGCTTCGTTCTCTTTTGCCCAGAGCCAGGATTTAACCAGAGGCTTTAGTGAAGTCTGGTACAGCAGAGACACTCTTAGCTCAGGCATGGCACCAAAAAATTCAGAAAATTCTGCCACATGCTTTTTAAGTGCTTTTAGGAAAAAGCAGAATGCTCTCAAGATGTAGAATTCTCTAAAAATACAGAGTGCTCATTAAAACATTGTCATTTCAAAAATACATATATTTGTACATAACATTTCTACAATGGACAACTCTACCAAGCATGGATCCTCAAATCTAGATAAAATTGAAAAAATGAAATAAATGGTGTGTCCATCATTGCCAGGAGCTGGGAATTATGTACAATTGGACTATAACTGCTGTCATTGCTAATCTCTAATTAAAGATTTTATAGCTTTTCAGTAAGACTCAGGTATTTAATTCATTTCTCCTCCAAAAGAGCCATTTCCACTTGAAATTACATGAATGGCTTAAATAATGATAATTATTTGGTAAGATTTGTGGTGAAGTGGATAGCAGCAATTATCCACTGATGCTGAAGACAAGAAGATAAGATGAATTATTACACTGTATTTTTCTGACACTGTCCCCAAAGCAACTTTAAAAATGTGTTTGAAAATTTATGTTTGTTTAAATCTGATAATGGATCTTCTAAAGCAGGCAAAGGATGATTTGTGCATACCAATATTTGCATCAGGGAGGGAGAGATCTGCTGCTTATTCATGGCTGCTTCAACACTGGCAGGGAAGGCTGCTGGCCTTGAGAAACTCTCCAAAGCTCGGAGATTTAGGATTTGAGTTCTGCAGGGCTGAGGGGTGGAATTCCTGAGCTCCATCTGCCCAGGTGTTCTGCCCCAAGTGCAAGCCCAGCTCCCCCAGCCCCCAGGAACCAATCTCTGAGCTGGGCCATGGATAAGGAGGTCACAGAGTGCAGACAGGGTAGATTATGTTGGAACTCCCAGTTACCAGCACTGTCAGCATGTTAGTTTTGCTTAACTAGTATTTATTTTCAGGTTTAATTCTGTCTAAATTATTTATTTTGCCTGCAGTCAATTGCTTACCAAATACCTGAATATTTCATACAGATCTTCTGTCAAATGCCAGTCTTTAAAGCACAGATTCATGCCTGGAAGGACAAGTTTCCCATGGAAAGCTGCCCTCCAGGAAGGACAGCAAAGGAGATGGAGGTAAATGAAGATGACCTTGAAGCTCATTGCTCTGAAAAAATGACAGGCCTCCCATGGAGGGAATAATGCAGCGGAATTGCAGCCTCACTCCCACCAGTGGTTGTTGCCATGGTGATTGATACCGAAAAGCCCATCTAGATGGAGGCTGCAGCAGGAATAGTAATTCCTGATATTGTTCAAGGCA